AATACGTTGTGTAGTGAGACCGAAAGGTGTCGCCGGCACTCCAAGTGTAAATCAGGTTAAAGGCCTCCTTTAGTTTGTTGATATGACGTAAATACGACAAAGACATTCACTTACTTCATGTTTGCGGTTTGCTATGTGCCACAAAATACACAAAATCAACGCAAATATACTCTCTAATCCGCGTATAAGATCAATTCATTGACTGAATTACAGCATTTTGCCGATTTTGGCTCGGGATGTTGTTGTGTTTTGGTTTCATCAAATGTCTGCACAGGCATATTGCTATTCGAGAAGGCAGAAGCCCTCCCTCACTACAGAGAGGCTAGCCTATTCTCATGAAACGGAGCCAGGGGTATCGCCAAAGCCAAAAGCACAAGCAAAGGCAAAGCAAAGGCAGGGACTGGGCAGGGAGTAGCGCCAACTTTGGGATTGCGTTTATTTCAATGGATTCTTATTTTTTCACTGCTTGACAAACAGTAGTCGTGCTAGACAGAGGCCTGTCAAGTCAAGCGAGTGGAGAGTACACGCAGAGCGGGAGCGTCGGCAAAGGTAAGTATGCAACAACCCCATTGAAGCGCCAACGCATAAAATGCACTTCAATGCGCGTAAATAAATGCGCTTAAAAAGGTGACAATATTCATACATTAAATGCGCCTGACGTGATGATATAATGCTCAAATGCACTTTACGCGTCTCGAATATGTCACCTATAATGTCCATTTCTTCACTGAAAGAAATGTTTCGTTGCAGCCATCAAAAATTGATCGATCAGTTCGGTCATGGCCATCAACATTTTAGTCGCAGCAACTGAAGTTTTGGTTACAGCGACCAAAATTTCGGTTACAGCAACTAAAAATGTTGATGCCTGTGATGGCTGCAAAACATTTCTCTCAGTGTACGCGCACCGAAAGCGCATTCGAGTTCGGTGCTTCTCTTAAGTAGGTGTGTGTGTGTGTAAAGTTAAGCCCACGATCTCGTGAGCCCATATATGAGCTTAACTTTACACACCTGGTTTAAGTTCTCAAAAAAACGCTATCGCGCTATCTTGGACAATTTATTAGTCAAATGTCTTTAGATACATGGATCCTAAAACGACAACAACCAGATGGACTCCTTGAGGTAGTTTGTTCATAAACACAAGTATGCGTTCCACCTGACCTGCTGCGGGGAAGTGCCGTCGTCGTGGCCGTTGACCATCCAGATGCATGCCGGTAATGCAGTGGAGACAAGAACAGAACGATGTACACCGATAAGAGCGTACCAAACTGTCGTTTTCATTTTATCGCTAATAAACTTTTATCGCCGCGCATCGGCGAGACGCAGAGACACGTTATTCTCTCCAAAAGGAAGGCGACTCACGACGCGACGACGTCCCACGTAGGGTCATGGCCGTTGGCCATGTGCGATGAGATTTGTTCTAGACTTGAAATGGGCAAGTACTTTGGGCAAACGAGGTTTCAGAAATAATTACAAATAACTGGTCAAGTGCGCCGATAGGTGACACATTCGATTGACTTCCGGCTGCCCGCTGCGCTGCCTGACTAGCCGGCGCTGAGGGCGGGCCGCTGGCCCCACACGGCTGCGTTGCGGGTCGGCCTACCCAGCCAGTCGCAGGCGCCATGTGGGCTCAGCACACTGTGGGTGAGTGTGAGTGGGCGACTGGAAATCCTGTATGAAGACGGGAGAAGACGGCGTTTGCCGGCGACCTGACTCATTCGCGCCTACGTTGTTGATAGGAGATTTGTTCTGATGACGATGTACGACTAATAATAATGCCGTTACAGTTACATGTCGCAGGGAGGTCATGAAGTTGCCATTTCGTGGGTAGATGTCTATGTCTACTACGACACGGGAGTGTTCGGGTTTGCTTTCCAGGGACCATAGCGCCTTACGGGTGGCGCGAGTACATTGTAAATCCGGGGTGTCCAGCAGGTAGGGACATAAGTCCGCCAGTCCGCCTAGTTTTGTGGGTCCCTACCCGCTAGGGCTCTCAAAAACCGGACCTACGGGTACCCGGGTGATCCGGGTAGGAACCAGGTAAACGGGTCCTACCGGGTGACCCGTACCCGGGTAGACCCGGTATGTTAAATTGCCTACCTACAGGCGCGGTTCCGCCGGGTCTACCCGGGTACCCGGGTAAACCCGTGTTACCCGGTAAGACCCGTTTACCCGGTTCCTACATGGGCGGGCAGGTACTCGGGTTACCCGGGTATGCGGGTAAAAGTGAGAGCCCTACTATCTGCAGGACACCTCGGATAGGTAAACCCGCGTACTGTTGTGTCGTAGCCCTTGGAGAGCCACCTGAAAGGGAGGCAATTTGCGCCACAAAACCCCTGAATGTTGGCAACCGACAGTGCATCGCCATTTGTCGGTAGCCCTTGAACACGGTACGCGACGACTACCGGAAGATAACAACAAAGTGTGGACTTGGTGCAGGGAGGTCGCGCAACCTCGAACTTAGTGTAACGGGAGCGACACAACCTCGATCTCTGTCGTTGGTGCGCATCGATGTTATCATCGCAACTATGTTGCTCTGTGCATAAATGCGGCATAAGTGCGCCTGGCGCCCGAGAGCTAGTACGTACAGTCACCACTGACACCCGATTTTCTTCCCCGTAGAGCCAAAGATGTTGACCGAGTTGGTGTTGGCGTTGGTGGCCCTGTACCTGGCGCTGTACGCCGTCGACAAGGCCCGCAAGCTGAGCACGCTGGCGCACATCGCCGGGCCCGGCTACCCGATCCCCATCATCGGCCACACGCCCTACATGTTCGGCTCCCGGGACGGCTTCTTGGCGCGGGCCCTCGTCGTGTGGCGCCGCTACGGCCCGGGACCCATCAAGTTCTGGCTCGGCGAGACCCCCATGGTGGCGGTAAGCGAGTATGGGCGAGGACCCAGACGTTAACCGACAGGTGCACTCATGCACACCGTTTTTGTCTCTTGCCTCTGCGGCGACACAGGTCACGCGGCCCGAGGACGTGGAGCCGCTGCTCAACTCGCAGCGCGAGGTGGACAAGCACGACGTCTTCTACCGGCCCCTGCAGAGCTTCTTCGGCAACGGCCTCATCAGCCTCAACGGCCAGGCCTGGTCCGTGCACCGCCGCGCCCTCACCCCGGCCTTCCACTTCCGGTCAGCACCCTTCCTTGCACTAACCGTACTGACCGTACCGCCGTGCGCAGTGAGGGTAGGCAGGCCCGCTGCGCTAGCGCGCGTGGCGGTACGGTATGCACGCGCCGTGCTCAGTG